TCCCCGCTTATGCTAATGAAGCCCGGGAAATTCAAATCCCGGGCTTCATTAGCAATATGGGTATGTCTACACTACCCCGCTAGTTCGAACTAGCGGGGTAGTGTAGACATACCCTTTGTGATTCCCCTCAGGAATAATGTTATGCATTATACATCACCTGCAGCCAGTCAGAAAGCTCCAGAAAAGGATTGTATTTGCCTGGACAAAAACGCAAGGTTTTTTGTACCGCTGCCATCTCCCTGGATTGTCATGTTTCTTTACAGTCTGACCCTTGTTTAAACTTGTATATTTTTAAAATCCGCGTCCATCTTATCTCTGCAGAGGGGAACTAGGGACGAGGTGACAAATATCTCCACTCCGAGAGCACATAGGAAGTGTCTGAAGAGAGCTGCACGCAGCTGGTCTATCCAGAAATTATACCCCCTGTGACAGATTCATTATCTGCGTGAGAAAGCAGGAGTGTTAGGGGCCTAACCGTATTCACAGCTGTAAACAATGGCAACCAAAAAGCTTTATCCTTGTTTGCATAAGTAAACTGGCTAACATGTCACAATCGGCCCCATTTAGTGAGCGAGAGCGGGCAAGGTCTGTTTATCTAAAATACACATTAGACAAATGGCTGGCAGAGGCAATTACAAACTGGAGGTTTTTCTTTCTGATAAATTCTGGCAGAAGGGTGGTTGGTTTTTTTTAAATGAATTCCTAATACGGGGCGCTGTTGATGAGCGGGGAAAATGCATCTTTGTTCAAGAGCGAACGGAAAGGAGAGAGCAGCTGATGCTTTAGCACCACACCCTGTTGTCAGGAATAATCTAGCCTGTGGCTGATTCACATCGCCTTTCATTCACTTTGTGCACCGGGGTTTTTGGAGAGAATGGAGCAAGAAAAGGGAGATGGACTCTTACTGCAATACGATGCTGCTAGAGCATCATGTATGTATGAATAGGACTCTACCAAATTCACAGCCATTGAAGGCCACATCACAGACCGTGAAATCTGGTCTCCCCCCCGAAGTCTGGTGGTGTGTGTGCTTTTACCCGATACTGTACAGATTTAATGGGGGAGACCAGTGTTTTTCAAAATGGGGGTACTTCCCCAAAAGGGAGGTGCGGGGTGGGGGGAGGGATGGGTTTACAGATTACTGCCAGGAGGTTGTGATATTGCCACCCTTACTTCTGTGCTGCCTTCAGGGCCGGAGAATGGAGATACATGCTCCACCTCCTCGGGACAACAGCTGAGCTCCTACCAGGAGCCAGGAGGCTGGAGTTCCACCAGAATTTGGGAGCCACATGGAAGGAGTCGGGGACCATCTACATCCCACACCCGTGGCCCGTGGCTAGCCTGCAATGCATGTCGCCTGGTCAGCAGGAGCTCTGTCACAAAGGATAGCGCCCTACGTGCCAACCGGATATTAACGCTCAGCGGAGCGAGACTTGTAAATCGGCACCTTGCCAAGCAGATGTTGCACAAAAGACACCGTAATTATATTGTGGTGGTAAATATGGAGTGCCAGTGCGTTGCTTTGGGATGCAGAGAGTCACACTCACTCTTGTGGGAAATCTCACCAAGGGATTCCCACAGGGTTCAACCACGGGGCTGTCTTGGTCGCAGGAACTGTGGCCCCGACCCTCACAAACTCCTATGTCCCATGGGCTCTTGATGAGGTCACTGGAACAGTCACAGTGGCCTTCTGGCTACTTTAATTTGGCCTGGGGAAGGGCTGGCCCAGGTAGCAGCCCAGGATGATGGAGCAACAGGCGTAAAGGCCATTGCTTTCGTGGCTCTGCGTGGTATTCGCTCCCAGAGAAGGAGTGTGGTGGAGAAGGCCAAGAACGGAGCAGTGAGGGGTGCATAATCCAGCCTTCGGTAGGGTTGCCGTAGCGCTCACCAGGCAAGCAGGTAAGTCCCTCTGGTCCCTTTTTGACCTAAGTGACTAGCCAGAAATCCAGCCTCGTAGCGTGCTGCAGTGAGATGGGCGTCAGGCCTGCTGGGGCAGCATATTCCTTGCAAATAAACGAGATTGCAACGTCCTGTTTCTCTGACCACGCTCGGAATGAACCAGCCATTTGCTGGCTGCTCCAAGCTGGGCTGCCAGGCCACTCTGTGCCCCTCTCCTAGCTTCGTCTCAGGGCCATGTTGCTGGGCTTCCAGGCACTGTCTGCTTGGCTTTCTCTCTCCGCCTGTCTCCGCCCCGCCTCCGGCTGCCTCTCCGCCGCCCCGAAATCATCTGGGCAGACAACACCCGGTGGAACCTTCCTCCCAGGCTGGGCTAATTTGGGGCGGGGCTGTCACACGCCGCAGTCTTAGGGGAGGACGTGTGATTAACTTATCGTAAAGGGGGGGTGGTTAGGCTGGTAACGTTACGTGGGTCGGGCTATGGAGGGAAAGCGAGACAGTCGGGGCGGGAGGAGCTGCCCGATGTTAGTACGTTGTCTGGGCGAAACAAACAAACTGTGTTGCTGAAGCTGTAGGAGGAGGGCTGGGCGGGCAGGCTGCGAATGGAGAGAGATTTGTTTCACAGGGTGCCGGGCCGGAGGGTTCGTTCCGCTGGGGTGCGTTGCTATTGATTTTGGGCCCTTTCCCCTTGAAGTGCCGGAGCTCAGCAGCCGGGCTGACTTCTCTCTGGGCTGTACCTACTGCGCTCCGCTGGGCTGCGCTCCAGACGTGAGTGGAGTAGGAAGGGTCAGGGTGTCTCCTCCACATTCAGCTACATCCGCCGTGAGTCCCCCCTGCGAGAGCCAGTGTCAGCTCTGGAGCCGATAGGGCCCCACTGAGGGGACAGCGGCTGGCCCAGGCCGTCTGCCTCCTGCTCGCAGGGCTCGGGTCTGGTTTGATGGCAGTTTTGACATTCAGGAGTGGGCTGCAGGCTGAGCTGGAAGCCCCTGAACAATGGGGGACTCCCAAAGCCTGGCTGCATTCCCCACCCACATGTTCATGCTGCCGTTCACCAGCCGCTTCGCCTGAGCCCTCTGGCGCAGGCCGGCCGGGGGAGTTTTCCCAGATCATTCCCAGGGTGGACACCCCGGAGCCCTTCTTCACTTCCTCTGTGAGCTGATACCTGCTGAGCCATCCCTGTGCTCGGAGTGTTATTTAGTAGGGGCCAGGGCCTGATCCACTCCTGCCGCGTCGCATCCGTGGTACTGGGCATCCCCCGTGTCTCAGGAGCTAGACGCTCACCACGTGGCTTAGCCATCTCCCGGGGCACTTCCCTCCTGGGGTGGGCTGGATAATTGCTCCCTCGGGGGCAGCAGGACAGTGGCTCCCCCCCCCCAAGACATCTGCCAAGCAGTCGTGCACTCCCACCGTGCGTCCGGCCGACTCAGCTCTCTGGGCAGGCCCATGAATCAAACACGGCATCCATCAACCGGGGGGGAGGAGGGGCTGGTCCTCCACAGCTTTGTTCATGGCAATCATTTACATGAATTATGGCTGGGTCCCTCCAGGCTAGGACCAATCGTAGTCATTGTCAATAGCAGGTGGACACCCTGAGACCTGCAGAGAATACAAGAATGGATGGGGTCTCCATTCACTCCAGCTATCTTACCAGGGGCCCCAATAGAGACCCCAAACCTAGGCCCCCAGGAAAGCAGCCCCAGAGTCTGTGAGATGCATGAAATTCTAGGGAGCGAGGGACGGTTGATGGTGCCAATATGGGTCCACGCGCAGGGGCTGGGTCTCCTGACGTGCGGAGCCAGTGTAACATTCAGAGGAGGAACAGGAATGGTGTCCCTCGGCTGCTGTAGCTCTCTCTTCTGTAATCTAGAGATTAGCACCTCACAGGCACTAGCTACTTGGGTCCCCTGTAGCCTCCTCCAGCCCCGACCAATCCCAGCTTCTAACGACCCTCCCTCTTCTCCATTGGGGCGACACCACAGTGGAGAGGCTGTCTCCTCCCCCTTTGCTCTGCTCACCTCCTCCTTTGCATCACTAGCTACCTCCTCTGAGACAGCCCCTCACGTCACCTCCTGCCGTGTCACCCTAGGGTTTCCTGTCCCTTCCGGCAGATCACTGACAGCTGCTGACCTCTCCCTCACCCGCTGTGGCACCTAAGGTATTGCATCAGCCTCAACTAACACTCTTGCCTTCCTTCTAGAACTCGGACCTGCCTGATGCTCTATTTCTACCAGCTCTACCATAGCAACAGAAATAGAAAGTGATCCTTCACCCTCCTGTAACTTGTCTCCTGTCTTTCTCACCATCTGTCTCTCCTCCACCCCATGCTTGCTCTTTCTTTCAAGGAGCTTTGTACACCAGGCGCCCCCCATCCCTGTTGCAAATCTTAACTTTCTCCAGCTCCATTGCGAACACTTTCCAACAGTCGACCACGGTCTGATTTACACCCGTCTAGCGATCTCAGGTGGGCAGCCACTTCCTCTTGCCAACAGTGTGTTTCCCCTTCCATTTCCTGCATCCGATACCTGCCCCGTTCTAACTTTTTCTCTAGCTCCTTAGGAGAAAGACTGATCGCTCCTCTGACGCCACAGTCAACCAACGTGTTAACTCCCAAATAGTCTGATCTGTCTCCTCCAAAGTCTGCTGGCCTTTTCTGAGTCGCTCTAATTTCTTGTTCAGTTTCCTCCCTCGTGCACTGCAAGCCGCAAGCAGACATTCAACGGCTGTTCCTTTCACCAACTTAGCCCTCCATTTCTTCTGCTCAGTGTCTACCTCAAACCCCTCACTGACAAAGGTTTTGATGCTCAGAGATAATCTCACTTTCTCTTCATTGTATTAAACCTCCTCCATGTTCCTGAATGTAAATTCTGTCAAAGTTTTCTAAAGCCAAGCTGTAGGCAACTCCTACAGATTCTAATCTTGCCCTGGTGCTATTCATCTTAACAGGTCAACTAGAACTCACTTCAAAACGAAAACCTGGCTATTGGCCAGCCTAGATAATAAACTGTCTGAGCGCTACACGTCTCTTGACCTCTCAGACTGAAGGAGTCCCTTCACAGATAAAAACAGGAAATAACACCCAAATGGAGGGGCCTAAACAACTTGAACCTTACCTGTTCTGAGATATGGGGTCTTTCTGGCAGCTCGAAGCCTTTCAGCTGGCTTATGTAAACATATATGTCAGCTTCTCTTGCTGCCATGAGGGCAGGTCACTGAGCTCCGTGCTGCTGCGTGTCTTCTTGATACCATGTAACTTTAGCCCTTTAATAACATACCCCCTGATGTGTGTATCACTTCAAATAATACTATTACTGCTCTTTCTCCATCTTGCAAGATTAAACTACAGACCTCTGGCCAGGAAAGAAAAAAAACCTCTTCAGTCAAACCACAATTCAAAACAGGAAACTAAAACCAGTGCTACGAAGCAGCCACAGGAAATAAGATTTCAGTGCTCTGAGACTGTCAGCTAAGAGACCAGGTCAGACACAGCCTGGGCTTTCTAACTATGATTCTTTCACTTCTGCATCAGGTGAGAGTCTGAAGGGTCTAAAATGCCTGGACTCTCCAGCCATTCCTGTCACATGCTCCTGGTATCTTCTGGCTGGCTCGCCAGTCTGTAGCCTGATTTAAAGATAGCAATATTATTAATGTGGATAGTTTGGGTTATAGGCTTGCCAGTTGGACTAATCAGAAGATAACAAGGTTCTTGTCCCAGAATCAGACAGCACAGAATATACCAGGAACCTTCGGGGGCATGACAGGATGTTCACGCTGAGACAAAATACATGGAATTGACATTAAATAGCAATTTGAATAGTAAAGCAAATCAGGGTTACAAATGCGATATTATTAGTCTAAGATGCACATGATATTATTTTTGATAAGCAACGGTTAATATACTCACACCTAATCTTGATAACGAGATGACCATGAGAAGGACCATTTGTCCTGGTATCATGGTTTCTCCTGGAGGAGATGTTCTCAGGATTGTGACATTGTTGTAGTTGGTTCCACTCTTTGGTTTTGAGTTGGATGGACGTCAGCAGGCTTTTTGAGGGTGGCTTGGGGTTTCTTGCATCTCTCCAGGTGGGATTCCTGATTTTTTTTCTTTTTCTTTCTCCTGGAGAAGCTGAGATGCAAGAGATGGTTTCTTAGTTTTTCAGAAGCCCATCTGCGGACAGATTGAGCATATTTGGAGTTGTATGCGGTGATCGAAGGGTATTAGATGGGGAGTCCTTTGGCAATGATGTTTTGTAATAATAAACAAATAACACAGAGATGGCATTTCCTTGTAGTATTGTTGGATGTAGTCTAATATGCTGATGCTGAGTTCATTCATGAGAACTATGTTTGCACTATTATTAGCATTGCTACTCGTTTTTAAAAGAACAGTCTGATTCTGTTGGTATGAAAAGGAGCTGGAAGGCTCCCCTAGAGCACACAACCCTTCCTGACTTGATTTAAGGATAACTTTGAAGAACTGGGGCAATTAAACAGCTCCGCCCATCTTTCTTACGGCAGTGGCCTCGGGACGCCTTAAGCAGTCTAGCGCTAAGAAGCCAGCACTTTTTCCCTTTGGAAAGAAGGGAATGCCACTAGCCGTTCATGGCATCTGGCTCTGATTCAGTGTGACAGCTGAGTGCTTTAAACATTCTCTCTGGTCATCAATTACAGGAAAAATGTCTGCTTTCATCTTCCTCCCTCCCCCTCCAGCGATGGCTGAGACAGCTCTGCACTTGGCTGGCGGCATTGTGTTCGGTATCAGTTCTCAGGAGCAGCTGATCCGGCTGGAAAGGACTCTTAGCACCAGCTGAAGCAAATGAAGTGTTCCTGAAAGGCTCCGTCTCGGGCCGTTCTTTCATCAGCCCAGCCTCCACCAGGCCCCCCTTCCCTCTGTAGGATGGAGCAACAGGGACGACTAAGGGATATTTAGGTTCCACACCCAGCAATGATCGGTGGAATCCTTCAATGCGGACTTCCTTTGTGGGACACGAGGAGTTAGGCTGGGAGCAGCTTGACACATGGACAATGCACGGGGTTTCGTGAAGGTGCATTGGTCCAACTTAACCTGCCTTCAGCTTCACACGTTGTGAATGAAGTGGTGCAAATGGACCTGCCCAAGGCGGAGCCCTGCACCTGCACAGAATGTTATCTCTCTAAATAGGTGTGTATAGTTCACTAATGTGCCAGTAGATGGGGCTGAAGCATGTGCCGCATAGTTCTTGAGTAGTGGCTCCTCTCTTCTTTTCCACCCATGTGTGGAATAATTTTATGTGCACCGAGGCATGTGTGAATGTGCACCACCAGTAGAAATGCAAAATCGTGCTGTGGGTGTTCTGCTAATCAGCTGGACGGCATTGGAATATGTCTCCTGAGAGGCCATACGAGCGCCCAGCATACAGGGAACACTGAGGAGTTTTGCTGAACTGACGCAACGTGCAGTGTGGCACTGTGAATGGCTTCCTGTGGTGTTAGAAGTGACAGAGTCTTTACTACTGCTTTCATTCCTCGTTGTGGCTGACCAGAAGTACAGAGTCACCCCAGCAATGGCTGTGAGCAGCACCCCACTCCCTGCTGGGGTGTTACATTCTGTGGGCTAGTGGGGCCTTTTGCCTGTTTGGGGGTTTATATAGTCTGCAGAAGAGAAGAGTGAGGGGGGATTTGATAGCAGCCTGCAACTTCCTGAAGGGAGGTTCCAAAGAGGATGGAGAGAGGCTGTTCTCAGTAGTGATGGATGGCAGAACAAGGAGCAATGGTCTCAAGTTGCAGTGGGGGATGTCTAGTTGGAGATTAGGAAAAACTGTTTCCCTAGGAGGGCGGGGAAGCACTGGGATGGGTTCCCTAGGGAGGGGGTGGAATCTCCATCCCTAGAGGTGTTTAAGTCTCGGCTTGACCAAGCTCTGGCTGGGTTGATTTAGTTGGGTTGGCCCTGCTTTGGGCAGGGGGCTGGACTTGATGACTCCTGAGGTCTCTGCCAGCCCTAGGATTCTACGATCCCCCAGCGATATCCTTAACCTCTCCAGGTTAACATGCCCCAAAGCAGAATGCCCACGCTAAGCTCCCTGCTCCCAGTCAGGCTGACGAACTTTTCCTGATGGCCGGAGAGGATCAGGTCGGTTGGGGACGTCAGCTCCTGTGTGATAAAGCTGACAAGCTGTTGCGGTCTGGCAGCTCTGATCTGGGGCTGTCTTGGTGTTGGCTCCAGAAAACCTCCTTCTGGACTCCAGTTTATACAGTGACGCTTGAGTCGTGCGTTGCTACACCGTACCCACTTATTGCACCGACGTAGAACAAAATCATTTTTTGCCCAGCCTTAGCACGTGGTGACTCCATTCTTCACCCATCGCCTGTGCGGAATGAAAGTGAAATTCTGTTGGTGACATTTTGCAATCAGAGAAGCAGACCGAGACCTTCCCAATAAACAACGGAGAAAGAGGGACCATTGAAACAATACAGAAGCACAGGTTTCTTAATCACAGCTGTTGCTATGTGATTCCTTGCCGGAATCCGGTCAGATCTGTTTCTTTGTCTGGCAAAGGGGGGCTCTATTAGGAAAGGGTTTCGCAGCCTGGCATGGCATTGTTTTAGTGTACTGTAGCTGGAATGTGCGGATGGGTCTTTCTTACGTGGCCGGTGGCTGCTGCTCTCCCAACCTGGCTGCAGAAAAAGGCGTCAGACCTTCCATCTTAGTTAAAACGGAATCGGCGCAGCCCCTTGCAGTATCAGTGCAGCGAACGTGTCAAACGTGGCTGGTCACCTGGGGCGAGGCGGGTGGCACGGTCTTTTAGAAGCATGCCACAGCTGTGGCTGAAACCACCAGTGAGATTCTGGCTTATCTTGCACCTCTGTGCTTGTTAACATGAATATTTACCTAGCGGCGTTTCCCCTGCTACCATTTGGGAACTCAGAGGCAAGACATAGATTATTTATTAAAGATGTATTACAAATTATCTTCCTGCTTCTCTAGCAGCCTCCATTCACAACACTCAAGGCACTTTGTAGAAGTACTATTCTTGTGTAGGCTTCTAGAATTATTTTTTTTTATAGCTGACGTCTCTATTGATGTTTATTTTCAGCATTTTTTTCTAGAATCAATTTAAATGTTCACAATTGCATGAAAACATGGGGGGGGGGAATCAGGCAATTGTGTATTAGTAGTAGAAACTGAGATTCAGGAAGTTAACGCTTTATAAGCCATTAAATCAACAAATTGTCAACATTTCATGTCAGGGAATACAAAGTAAATATCCTTAAATAAACAAATCAGATCTGTTCTGATTTTTCATTTTGTGATCTATTTGTAATAAGCCTAATGCAAATGTCTAAACAGCTGGATTTATAATAACTTCTCAAGCTACATTTCTTTTGTACTTTGTCTGTAAATTTCAATTTGTAGCTATGGAAATATTTATTTTGTCAGTTTGCATGTGTCCAGTGAAATTGACCTTCACTGGCAAAAATCTAACTCTTTCAAGCCGGCTGTTATGTTAGTGCTTCCCCAAGTTTATTTCTCCCCTTCTGCCTGCACTGAACAGATTTCTGTTCTGGGGGAAGAAAAGCAAGCTTGCAGTTGAAAATTGGTGTTTGATTTGGGAGTAGCGCCAATGCGTGCATTTGTTTTGGTGAAAGGTGGATGACAAGCATTGAAGAGAAGTCAGAAATTCACCTGTTATTGTGTGAACCAATGCGCACAGGCAGGTCAGGTTTATTTCATGCCAGAACCGATCCACAGCCATCCCTTGATTAAGACTTGTGACACACATGGAATGTAAATGTAAGGCACTCTGGTGAATACACCATTTCTCCAAACTGGCACTGACATCTTCTGGAAAAGAGAAGCAAGTACAATTTGGTCTTATTTGGAACAAAATACAGGACTATGTATTTTGTTTCAGCTACACCAGACTAACACGGCTACATTTCTATCACTGGTGTTATTTGGGGCATTTTATAAAAAAAAAAAATAGACTAAAAATAATTACCCTTTCTGCTTTTCATCACACCCTTCAAATCTTCTCTTGTCCATCCCTAGACCACCGTGTGAAATACTATAGCATAGCTTGATTTTTATCACAAGTCTAATATTTGCTGAGGTTTTTTAGCATCCCTCTCTTGGAATCATATGACTGTGGGAAAATCTCAGCTTTCATTAAAAAAAAAACATCATGCCATAATGATTGGGGAGAAAAGCTTGAAGATGTTCAAAATTTAGAAGGCAAATCCAAAGAACCGACCCTTGTTATTTTTGTTTTAAAAAAAAATCTCATGATTGTTCATAGATTCCACTGTGATGTGACTATGTGCACAACACAGGTCTGAGAATGTCCCCAAACTAATCCCTAGAGCATGTATTCTAGAGACACAAAGGTTATAAGCTGTTAGCAATAGAGAATCCACCCTCACTCTTGATGAATTGTTCCAAGGGAGAATTACGGTACTCTCAGTGGCAAACGTTTACATCTTGTTGCCTTTCTGAATTTGTCAAGCTTCAACATCCAGACATTGGATTAGGGTTCCACACATTGGGCCCTAAAAGGGTGTTACAAGGAAGAGGAAGAAAAAATATTCTCCTTAATGTCTGCTGATAGGACAGGAAGCAATGGGCTTAAACTGCAGCAAGGGAGGTTTAGGCTGGACGTGAGGAAAAACTTCCTCCCTGTTAGGGTGGTTAAAGGCTGGAATAAATTGCCCAGGGAGGTTGTGGAATCTTCATCTCTGGAGATATTGAAGAGCAAGTCGGATAGACATCTACCAGGGATGATCTGCATGGTACTGGGTCCTGCCATGAGGGCAGGGGACAGGACTCGATGACCTCTCAAGGTTCCTTCCAGTTCTAGTGCTCTGTGATTCTAGGTTTGCATGAAATCTTTCTCTGCCTGACCAAAGAGCATAATATCAAACATTTGTTTCCCAGAGAGTTGCTTATTATTTGTAATCAAGTCATCCCTCAAGTTTTTCTTCCTTAAACTAAGCAGACTCCAGAAGTTCAATCTACCAAGAATGCAGGTTTTTGAATCCTTGAATCACTCTTGTGGCTCTTCTCTGAACCTTCTCCAATTTATCAACATGCTGGGGGGGCAGGAGGTGGAGTCCGTGAGTCGATTTAGCCACAGAAACAAAAGAGATTGTAGTGGCATTTATCGGAGAGATTGAGTGCTGCAGGGGCAGGGAATGGGTTTTGGTTTGGGAAATTAGCACCTGCCCTGCTCAATACAGTATTGAAATGTTGAGTGCTGGTTGGCCGGCATGTAAAACGCCACTATTACCCATCAGGCAGCAGAATTTGAAACACCACCATTTTCAAGACTTGTAATGGTCACTTAATCCGCACAGAGAGAGGATTTCAATTTAATCTGGATTTCAGATTCAGGTTGATGGGAATTACTCTCTGTTTTCTAGGGGCGGAACGTTCCTTCCATAGTTCACGGAACCGACCGGCATGGACGTGAATGTCTGTTAACCATGCAAAGAGAAGTAAGTAACATTTTTCTTGCGTAGTGCACATTTATGATAGTTTCAGCGGCTGTCTAGTGCATGTCTAGAATACAGAGCATGCTACAGTCTTGTTGTGAATCTTGTCATTGTGCATTTCAGCTGCTCCGTTTGAGAAATATTAATCCTGGATCTGGTTTTAGAGACTATTCCTTCTTTTGAAAAGGAATGTACTGTTTAAGTCGCTGTGTAGATGTTCTGTGTCAAATGGTGTTTGAGTGACCGTTTTAAATGTATGACTAAGGTGGAACTGAACCATGTTTGTACTATTTAAAACCCTGTCAAATGTAAGACCTCTTACTATAAATGCTGTATTCCATCATTACGCGTGTTAAAAATACATTGGCTAGGTTCTATGTAAATAGGTTCTGTGCTATAATCGTTGTGTATGTCTATACACGCATACAAGATGTGCTGGGGCGGGCAATAATTTTTGATGTGGGGTCCACTCCAAGATTTTGGGAAGTGGCTGAGGGCTGCACTTTTCTATAGAGGGGGTGCGGGATGTGGAAGAGAGGTTGGATGCAGGAGGAAGTTTGGGGTAGGGTCCTGGGGTGCAGGAGAGAGGGTGGGGTCTGGGAGGGAGTTTGGAGGAAGGAGGGGGCTGTGATCTGGGGCATGGGCTTGGTGTGCAGGGTCCAGGAGGGGGTCGGGGTGCAGGAAAGTATTTGGCCTGGGAGTAGGTGTGGGAGGGGGTGCAGGGTCTGGGAGGGGGTGTGGGTGCAGCAGAGGGTTCTGGCTCGGGGGAAGGTGTGGGAGGGGATGCAGGGTCTGGGAGGGAGCTGTGACCTGGGGCAGAGGGGAGGTACAGAGGTTTTGTTTGGGTGGTTCTTCATGGAGTTTTCCTCCTTTCTGAGGGTCTGACTCAAGAGGCGGGTTTCTAGAAGGGCAGGGCGCTCACAGATGCAGCTGGAGTCCAGGGGAGCTGGGGCTGGAATGTGTGAAGTGCTAGATAATGCGAAATACTCTGACAAACCAGACTGTAGCTCTCAGCTCAGCCACCCCAAATCAGTAGAAACTTTTGACCTTTGTCTCTGCCTCAGTCCCCCATCTGTAAAATGGGAATAGCACACACTCCTCTCACTGGGGGAAGCAGGGACAGTGCTGGTCATGCTGCCGGACAATATTGACCTCCCATGGTCCGGCAAATTCTCTGGTTCGGCACCGGTCAGATTCCAAGGGTGCCGGACTAGGGAGATGCAGCCTGTACTGCTGTCTTTAGCAGGGGGCATGGCCCCGTGCAGCACTCTGACCTTCCATCAGCTATGTCCTGAGGTGGAATGACCCATCCGAGCTGGGTTTTGAGGAGTCCTGGTTGGAGATGACGCCAGCTAGCCATCGGTCCGTTGGCTGGAGGGTGCTGGCCTTCCTGCAGGAACCCTGGGGAGCCGGCTTTGAGACCATATGGAAAGGCACGCTATCTGCACCCAGTAACCCCGCCCGGCCCGGTGCCCGGCACTGAAGCATGCTGGGAGCACCCATCCTGTGAGCTGTGGTGTGTAGCCGAGGGAGTTGGGCGTCAGAGGGAGCAGCCGGTGCGTGAGCAGACGCAGGGCAGCGCACTGAGACTAACTCACCCCTACTGACCTCCAGGGAGGCCGGCGGCGGCCCATTGTGTCTGATGTGCAGAGTGTAACTGAAGGAAGGCACAGGAGCTAAGCCCGTGATATCAGATAGGAGGCTTTCTAATTAGCCTCTTTGGGTCAAGTGAGTGTTGAAAGGCTTGGATTGCAGTCAGGGCAAGGGCTGAGTGCCGTGCCGCGCCCGCTCGGCGTGTGCCGGGACAGCCCCTGGAGCCAGATGGCGGGACAGAAGGAAAACGTGTTGGGTGACATTTGACGTCACCTGGACTCGCCGTGCCAGCCCCCCGCAGGCGGTGCCTGTCCCTGTCCGGTGTGCGCAGAACCGTCATGCACCGGCTTTGCTCAGCGGCCCATAGACGCCATCCCAAAGCACCGTGCTCCAGACCCCTTGGTAGAGGCCAGCCGCTAATATTGACCCAGGAGAGAGCCCGGTCTGGGCTGGGCTGTATGGGTAACGTGCGCTCCACGCACCGCCCTGGTGCAACCTCCTTACCTTCATGCCGGCTGCAACCAGATTGTGGGCCATTGGCACGTCACTGTGGATACCGGGGGTTCCCACCTCGCAGGCAGCAGGGCAGAACATGGGAGTGGTCTGCAAGGCCGCTTCTCCCCCCTGAACCCGCCGGCACAGCAGGGCCCTGCAGGAACGTGCTCTCTGTGGGACGCAGGCCTGCCCGCTGTGTGCGGGTTCAAAGAGAGCACTGGCAGCCACGCCGCTGACTTGGGGGACGTTGCCTCCCGTAGGCACCAGGCTCTCCCACATCATGTGCACGGATTGTGCAAAGCCGCTTGGAGAACAGCTTCCCCCCTCTCCCG